ATATATATATATATATATATATATATATATATATATATATATATATATATATATATAAATATATAAATACAAAATAAAAGATAAAACAAAATAAAAAAAGATACCTTAGGTGGTAGTTTCTTCTTAAATGATGGATTTCTAGCCATTTGCTTCGTCAGCTGCATTTTTGCTCCGCAGCGGTAACATGAGGCCTGTGTAGATAGAAAAAAAAGAGTAGTATTTCATGATTATATTAAAAAAATATAAAATAATTTAAATATATTATAATATTATTTAATAATTTAGTGAAAGGAGAAATACATACAAGAATTTCAATGCAGAACACCAAAAAACACAAAACTCGTCGCAACTGAAAGATGAAGAAACAATCCAGAAACCCAAATGATGAATAAAAGAGGAGAGAGAAAATACAAAAAAAACAAACGTGAATATATGCAGAAACACACAGGAAATGGCATTCTGTATTGTTTAGTAGCTGAAGATATACCCTAAACCCTAAACCCTAAACCCTAAACCCTAACACCTAAACCCTGATCCTTTCTCCCTACCGCGTACCCCCCCTCCCTCCTCTCTGGTTTATCATATAACCACTTAATTGTATTCGCAAATAATTAAATAATGAAATTTAATAGAGAAAGAAGAAGTGTTTATATCTCCTCCCCCTCAACAAAACTATGCTCTTGCTCTTATATTCACGATGTTTCCTTTGTATTCAATGAAAATAAAGTATAATATTTAGTTGAAATATAATTTAATAATTAAATTAATATAAAATAAAACAAAAAAAGAAAGAAAAATGAAGAGAGAAACAACTTACATTCATAAGGTTTCCATGGTATTCAATAACACGTCTACTACCAGCATCCTGATGAAGGTTATCTACATTTTGTGTTACGATTGCTTTTATAATACCCAAAGCTTCTAATCTCGCCAAAGCAATATGAGCTCTATTAGGAACAGGTTCGTTTTCATTCAGAAATTCGTGCAACAATATCCATATTTTGCTCGGTTCACGCCAGAAACCCCATATCGTCGCGTACACTGCAGGGTCATACCTGCAACAAAAAAAAAAAAAAAAAAA